ATGATAATAACGATCACGATTAGAGAAGACATGAACGTTTCAATTGTTCCTTTGTATATAAAGAAAAAAACAAACATCAGAAATTTGTTATAAATAATGTTTAAGTGTATAAGTAATGCATTTTCTATCTGAAGTCGTTGATAAACCTGGATTAATCGCTGGTTATTATCAAGACACCTATCGATCGTTAAACAATTCTCGTCGCCGGATCAGGCGGCGCGACTTTACGTCGCTGCCAATTTCCTCCGCATTTTCTAGCCGTTCCGGCAACGAGGTTTCTCGTTGCACGAGCATTGTACGAGCGCACTGACCTGCACTCGCGCCGTACCGGCTCGGATTTAAATTTAAATGGAAAAGTCCGGACGCGACGCGGCGCGGCGGTATTCGTCTCGCTTTTTCAGCTTGCACCCGCCTCCCTCCCCGTATCTCTCGCCACCCCCTCCCGGCGACCCGCGAAACGCCTCCAATTTCGCGAAAAGCCGGAAATGCCATGCGGATCCCTCCCGGACTCCTGCGCGAACAATGCCCTGAAAGCATTGGGAAAACCAGTTCGAGCGTTTTCCCGCATTTCCTATCGTTCGCGATTTTCCTACCCGTTTTCCGCGGGACTAACCCTCCCCCATTACGCGACAGAGATAATCGGTTGATATGAAAATGATCTGGGCCCTCGATCAAAGTCATAAATCGTCGGGTCAGTTTCGCGTTCATGGTACCAAATAATAAAATAATAAAATAAAATAATGGTAATAGTCAACGCGTTTATGGTAACAAATTTGATACTGTTGCTAGTATTAAATGTTAACTGGAACGGGAGATTCTGGAATGGACGGCATGGAATACTTGCGAAGTCTCGGTCGACAGGGGGCTGTTCGCAGCTGGACGCGGGATTTAATAAACTGTCACTTGGTGAAATTGTTTGGACCCTGTGGGTTCCTTTGTACCTCCGGAATAGAGTGGAAACTTCATTCCTCTGGCCAGATTTCACATGGTCTTGCCCGCAGTTGGGAAGGTTTTTCGGTCGGTTTCAAAAGCTCTCGAATTGTTTGAAACAGTTTCATCCCTCTCCGGGCGAGGTTATTTCCAGGGAATGTAAAGTTACTCGGTTCAGTCGGCCGACCGTTACAGAGGCTTCGCTCACTTTTCCCGGAGAAGCTTTTCAGTTTTAAAGAGCTTCGGCTCGCCCACGCTAATGATTCGTCCATGTCGAAACGGTTCGTACCGTATGATTTCGTACAACAAACATCCCGGCCATCAAAAGCGAAGTTAACGAGCTTAAGGAGACGTTACTGAAAGAAATCAGAACGAAATCCGACTGACTGGACGCACGGAGTAATGATGTATCAAACAAGGAACTCTGTTCGAAAGGAACGTTCCTTGTTAACGTCGATTTATAACTTAGGACCTAACTAAGAGTAAACAATATGAAAGTCGATGCATTCGTCGGGGCTGTGACCCGGATTCTTCGCTAAGAGCAAGAGACTTGACGTTTGCTCGAGGAAGAAACCTTTCAGAGATACAAGAGCCTCCCAAGGGTGAGTTAAAATCGCTTTGATCGCGTAGTAAAACAGCTGGGATCCGACGTGGAAATCACCCGGAGGACAGTTTCGTGGGTTCTATTGGCCGATAAAACGGCCATGTTCGCTGTCCTAACAATGTTAAGAACTAAGGGAAAGCTGGTATTACCCGCGACATGATGAAATAATAGCAAATAAACTCCGAGATTCCACCGTTTCGAGTATATACAACCGCCGCAGATGTTCTCGTATAATATTTATCCGATACGCTCGTTCCTTTTCGGTAGTCAGCCAATTTGTTCATTCAACGATTTGTCAAATCGACCTCGGCCGTCTATCTATTTATGGACTTATGTCATTAGCCACTTTTTGTACTCGTTGACGGCTCATTAAGTCGTCCATCAGCTAATTAGCGTATTTGCTCAGCTAATTATCGGAATTAACAATATATTCATCGTCTCGTTTCTGGTTGTACTTGATGCTCGTGAAAAGTGGTCGAAAATCGTTTAACTGCGAAATTAGCAATCAAAATTGTAACACAGTCGTTCCTCTGAATTATAATATTATTATTATTATTATTATTATTATTATTATTATTGTTATTATTATTATTATTGCGGTCGATCACCTCTCTGCAAGATCGAATACGTATTTTGTATGATTTCACACACAAGAACGTGAATCTGAAGAATGTCAAGCCGAACCTAATGGACCTTTGAACTTTACGTAGCGTCATTCTTCGCATTCAATCGTTCGTTCATTCATTTACTTAATTAATGCTTGTCCGTTTGGTTTCTCAATCGGCGCGAACGCATTCAACGCCGGATTCATTGTTCATTACTGCTTTGTCATTGTTAGCGACGCGGGCGAGCGCTGAGTGGAAAGTGAAAATCGCGTTTCGCGGACTCGACGTTGGAACTTTTTGAATCCCCGCATTGACTGCCGATAACGAAGTTGGAGCGCGCGCGCGCGCGCGGGGGTGAGAGACGGGGACCCGAGGGAGGACGGGGGGTCGAATTGCAAACATCAGGAACACTGACGTGTAATTAACGATCGATAATGCGAATAGAAAATGAGGAGGCGGGAGGCTCATGTTATGATTACGCACGGCAGGCGCACCTGCAGATTAAAATATGATGAATTAATCTAAATTAGAGGACACGGCAATTAACGTTGGAATCCTGGGATTCAGTTCGTGCCTTCCAAAACCCATTGAAACACCGTACGTTTAGAGACAAACCCGGTGGCCGAAATTCAAAACGCGCGCGCGCGTATTACCCGCACTTCATTACTCTTCCTATCATAAATTACCTCCATCGATATTTTCTATCAACGATTGATAGATCGTCGGATTTTACTTATAACTCGTGATTGCATTCGTCGTGTTACGCGATACGAGGTTTGTTAATCTGAAAGTTCTATTACTGTTGAACCCCCCAGTGTTACACTGCGCGTAATGAGATTCGAAGCTTGTTATGAAAATTCAAATAGACTTTGCTTTGCTAGTTTAATTGCTTCACGGTTTAAAAACAACAGAATAGATTTATAACAGACACGATTAATTATTTTATAATTACACGTCTAACAATTGCCAGGAAATTCAAATGACATGTGCTATTATACTGGTAAACCGAAATGGCTCTGTTCTAGAGAAAAGGTGTTGCGTTCAGGTAACAACGCGTTGTTAACGTGTCAAGTAGCTCGGAATCGCGCGATACATTCGGCGACGATTGTAGCTGTTCTTACAGTTGCTGAACTTACGACACACTCGCGAAGACAACGCGGTAAGCTCCTTTCGTTCGTACTGCGTGGTATTAACCGAACACATGCCTCGAACAACAGTGAACTCGAGTAACTTTCCTAGCTGCTATCGTTTAAGCGCTAGTACAGTTATCGCGCCAGAATTTTATACCACTGCGTTTATGCACAGTGGATTTAAAGGGATTAAATTACGTCTTGAACTCTGGAGATAAGTCAATTCTTTGAAAATGTAATTATTTTTATTGTAAAGAAGAATTATTTATATAATCTGTGCAAATTTTGGATACTGTCTGACCATGGACCGACTTATACTACTGAATGACCGCTGTAATTTATTTTGTATTATCGTGATTAATTTTTCTATGCAATATTTAACAATTGGCTCGTAAGAAAGCCAGTTTTTCGTTATTTAATGTTGTGGAACGAGACGAGAATTCTCTTAATTCTTGGCAGTCGTACAATTAGCCATGTGTGATGTATACTTTCTACAGAGAATTTAAAGAAAAGGGCCTTTGGACATTGGAGACGACAAAAGACCCGGCGAGTTTAACCGATTCGCTCCTTTGTCGCCGGTTCATCTTTCAGAATTATTCCGTGCCGGAACGCGAAACTTTTTGGTTGATTTAAAAAGGTCCGGTATTCCGTTCTACCCTGTTACCTCCCCGCGGAGCCGGGAATAATAGGTACGGAAACTCGTGACAAGAAAACTCCTTGCTCGCTGCGCGCGTATAAAAAATAGAATTCTCGCTCGGCATTTTCATCATCTGACAAAGCCGTCGGACAATCGACGGTAAATCTCATCCACTTCGGCGATGATATGAGAAACATTCTTCCAAGTACCGTCGGTTTCAATTTCGTTTCGTTGAACATTACTTATTTCTTGCTTCATATTTTTATTCAGTTCTCGCATTTTATTTTTTCAACATTATATTTCGTCTGATAATTCCGATTAAAAATGTATTACAAAAATAATTTAAATATTCTGAAATAATTGTCAAATGATTACTATAAATTTTCCACCTCGAATCAATTCTTTGAAAATGTAATTATTTTTATTGTAAAGAAGAATTATTTATATAATCTGTGCAAATTTTGGATACTGTCTGACCATGGACCGACTTATACTACTGAATGACCGCTGTAATTTATTTTGTATTATCGTGATTAATTTTTCTATGCAATATTTAACAATTGGCTCGTAAGAAAGCCAGTTTTTCGTTATTTAATGTTGTGGAACGAGACGAGAATTCTCTTAATTCTTGGCAGTCGTACAATTAGCCATGTGTGATGTATACTTTCTACAGAGAATTTAAAGAAAAGGGCCTTTGGACATTGGAGACGACAAAAGACCCGGCGAGTTTAACCGATTCGCTCCTTTGTCGCCGGTTCATCTTTCAGAATTATTCCGTGCCGGAACGCGAAACTTTTTGGTTGATTTAAAAAGGTCCGGTATTCCGTTCTACCCTGTTACCTCCCCGCGGAGCCGGGAATAATAGGTACGGAAACTCGTGACAAGAAAACTCCTTGCTCGCTGCGCGCGTATAAAAAATAGAATTCTCGCTCGGCATTTTCATCATCTGACAAAGCCGTCGGACAATCGACGGTAAATCTCATCCACTTCGGCGATGATATGAGAAACATTCTTCCAAGTACCGTCGGTTTCAATTTCGTTTCGTTGAACATTACTTATTTCTTGCTTCATATTTTTATTCAGTTCTCGCATTTTATTTTTTCAACATTATATTTCGTCTGATAATTCCGATTAAAAATGTATTACAAAAATAATTTAAATATTCTGAAATAATTGTCAAATGATTACTATAAATTTTCCACCTCGACGAAAAATGCTCTAGATGGTGTCTTTACAACTCGACGTTCCCTGCTTCAACTTGTATCTCGTTTTAATGAGATTCTCAAGTGGCCGCGTCTTTTCTTTCGAATTAGGTAAATTATCGCAGCGACGTTCGTGGAATAAAGAGAATCTTTGGCGGAAGACACTTGTGTCTGAATGTAAAAATCTTCAGCGGGACGAGAAGGAGCCGGCGAAGTGAAAAGTCTGCAACCCGTTTAAAAGGGCGGTAGACCCGCTCGCTCGTCTCGCTCCAGCTCGTTATTTTATTAAGCTCATTTCCGCCGGTCTTTACTGTCCACTCTTATTTACTTAAGCCGCCGCTGCCTCTCGCCTCGCTCCTCTTCCCCGGTTCGATCCATTCGCAGGGAAAAGCAGTCCTCCTTTTTCGGAGGACCAGCTATCGCCGGATCTCTTGGGTTTAATCAGGCTCCTTTTATAAATGCAGCGGGACTTCGTTAAACTAATCCGCGGATCCGAATGTATCGCCCGGTTTGATCTTGTTCCCTCAGAATGATCTCGTTTATTCCACGCCTCCGTGAACAGATCTTATCCGACTCTGCATGCATTTAAATTGTCAAAACATCAGCCATGTCTCTGATATCGTTGTTTCGATGCAGAATCGTTTTCTAAATTACGATTCCGTATCACCGGAGGATCATCATGCGTTCGGCAAATTAATTATGATGCGCTGTTGTCTGGGGAAATTGAATTTCTGGCAGGAACTCGGTTGCCATCAAACTTGCCCCGAGTTCACTCAAGAAATAGTTGGATTCAAAATAGCCGGATGTCAAGGCGAGTCCAAAGCGAGTATCAGTCACTGTTCCATCCGGTTCGAAACGGCGTTGTTTCGCCAACTGGTCTCAGTCATTGTCCATTAACCGAGAAACCGACTCCTCTCTCCCATTAATTTCGTCAGGCACTGCAAACAGAATTTCGGGGATTACAATCGACGATCTTTACTTTATATTTCGTTACGACGAACCAAGACGTGTAAATTATGCCCGGAGGATTAATAATTCGTACGTACGTATTTGGGATGCAGGGAACAGTTCTCGGCCGTTGCTCGCGACGGTAATCTCGCATTGGCAAGTTTATCGATCGTAAACCGTTCTACAAAAGAAAGTTTCGCGCGTGAAACTTTTCCTGAAGGGCCAGAAGAAAGAGCAACTTTTTCCGAGCGAGTTAACAGCGTGAAGTGGGTAATTTCCTCCCCGGCTGCTTATTTACTTTGTCGCGGCCAGGGGAGCGTATCTTCCGAGAGGTTGAACCGAGACCAAAGTTCGCCGCGTACAGCCCCGAAAATGCGAGACCGATCGCCACCGTTTCGGAAACTGCGGCCGCGAACTTCGTTACACGGCAAACTATTTCCCGGTATTGTTTTCGGTGTACAGGTTTCGCAAAATTTCACCCCCTCCCCGAAATGTATGAATAATTTCGAATTTCGTGTTTTCGTTCCGGTCTAAATATTTCATAGAATTTTCAACGATTTAAATTGTACAGTAGATAAAATGGGAAGCGTACGCGCTCGCTCTTTAGAAAATTAACACTTGGGGGTGAGAGAAACGTTAAGGTCGTACGCTGGTAATTCGCAGCGAAAGGGACCGGAGCCCGAAGAAATTGAATTACCGTCACCTGGCGTGTCCATCGTGATCGATGCTGCGGGGAAATCGAGTAGATCCCTTCTGGGGCCGTTAAACGACGCATTATTACCTCATGGATTCCTCGATCGAGCGACTAATTACTGATCTCGTCGGTAAAGCTCTTATTTCTGTCTCTTACGGGCATTAAAACTGTGAAATGGGTCAGAGGGCCGCGTTCTCCTTTGCGTTTGAATTTTACTTTACGGCTTAAATCGACCGGAGTTCAGCGATGATATTGAATGGCGATTAACGGGTCCGTCCGTTCCTGTTTCTGCTTTCAGAAGATGGGCTCGGTCCATGGCGAGGAGCTGCCTTTCGTGTTCGGCGCGCCATTGGTCGACGGTTTCGGCCACTTCCCAAGAAACTACACCAGGCCTGAAGTGGCACTCTCCGAGAGCATCGTGCAGTACTTCGCCAACTTCGTGAGAACTGGGTGAGTACAGATCCCGATCGATTCGGGAAGCATCAGCCCCCTTTTTACCCTTTGCGAACTTCGAAATAGCTAGCAGAATTTAATAACGTTCATTTAAATATTAAACAATTTTCTTAGCAATCGAATGTCTCCATCATAATTCTTATAAGATGAAACGTTTCAAAAAAAAAATCTTCATATCGACGTCTTCGAACCACTATTAAAATTTTTTTTTTACAGTGTTAGTGCATTTGAAACAAATACTTTTGCAGAACATAGAAATCATGAATTTTCGTCGAATTGATAAAAACTGGAAGAGTGCAGATTTCGATCGATTCTCGAAGTACCAACCCCATTCTTTCTCTTCATGGACATCGAATCAGGAGAATTTATGAACGTTCATTTAAATACTAAACAATTTTCTTGGGAATCGAATTATGAGACATTTGAAATAAAGGTTTCTAAAAAAAAATCCTCATGACGACGTCTTCGAACCTTGAAACAAATCCAATACTTTTGCAGTCAGAATATAGAAAGCTTGAATTTTCGTGGAATTGATAAGAGCCGACGCGGTAGGTGAATTTGGCGCAGTTTCTTAGTCTGAGATAAACCGTATCGAAGCGATCGTTTCTTCGGTCTATTCACCGGCGCGGGCGAATGGGTGGTGGGATTCCACGAAGAGTTCAATTTTCATCCGAGAACGACGCTCGATGGAAAACCAATCCTTTCCCCTTTTGAATCAACAGCGACGTGGCGCCACTTGCACGGAATCAATTTGCGAACCGCGAGGCGAGCAGAAACAAAAAAAAAAAAAAAAAAAATGGGAAAAAAAGAGGGAGAGACGCGGATCGCGTCACCGAAAGGTCTAATTTTCCATATTCATGAACGGCGTGGACGCAAAAAGGAGCGAGGCACGCACGCCAGACAGAGAGAGGACAGACGGAACCGTGGATTAAAGCGAAAATATTTTTCGAATCCGATCGGAGCGGCGGCGTTTCATACCCGCGCTCGAATTTCAGATCGCGGACCGACGGTATTCAAATTCACGGATTAACAAGGAACAGCCAGAGTAGTGCCTGCGCTCTTTTATAATTTAGATGCAGCCTCTTTCGCCCGTGGAATTAAATACGCGATACCCTTTGACGGGTCGCGAGCGTGTCGCGCGATATCGACTGAAAGGACTCTCCACTCTTGCCCATTAGGGATACTAATCAATTTTTGTTTCCCGCGAAGGATCAACACGTGAACGTTAAATTTCCGAATCAGTTGGAGAATGATAACGCACACTCGAAAGTTCTTCAAGTTACATTTAATTGGAGGAGGATCTCGACGTGAATTGCCGGTCGAATTGATAACAGCTTTTCATTCCGCGGCCATATGCTCGCGGTTAATTTATATTTCACTGGCGATATGAATTAACACGAGCCCGAGGTGAAAAAAAACCGCTCGGAATCCGTCAAATATTCAAAGGCTGATAAAGTATTCATAAATGTAAACGCGAATTCACTCGGTTATCAATCGTCAGTTTATATCGTCCGATTTTTTTTTTCCCCCGTTACCTCCGCGGTTCTAATTGTTTACTTTTTCTTCTGACACGCGATCGATTTCATTTCGATCGATTTTATCATCCAAGTCGTCGTTCGAAATATTCCATCGTCCGCTCGGCTGACGGAACGGAACAGAGCCGATGTCCTTCTGCGACACCGTTAATTAAACCTTTTTGCTCGCCGGTCCCTTACGCAAACGAAGCTTTTAAAAAATGAACGCTAATTTTTTATGTCGCTGACCGACTTCTAGTGTCCGTGTGTTTTAAGGCTGCGATAAAACATTAAACCGGAAGCCAACCCCGAGCGCTTCCGCTTAATGAGTCCGCGTTAATATTCTCTCTTTTGTACTTCACAGTCTTCGTCGGGAACTGTGTCAATTTCTAGGTAATTTATTCTTCTCGAGCTCGATTCCCCGTTACAATTTCTTCAACAAGATCTGTTCATCCCTTTCTCAAAGTTTGAACAATCGTCCCGTACATTCTTTATCCCTCACATTAATTAATCACTGAATTCTAATCGATCCTAGTGTCGAAATCTTGTTTTATGTTACGTTTATCGTGGCCGACGGAATTGTTTGTAAAAATGAAACCGCTCGGTCTGGGAATGGTCACGAAATTCTAGACAGCTCGCAATTGTCCGCGGGAAACTGTCCGAAAGTGCGGCCGGTATCGCCGGTAAGTATCGAGCGACAATTAATCGTGTAGCTGGCGCACGTTTCCTGCGGCAAGAAGACGTACAATAACAACAAGTAATTTCGGTTACGAGTTTAGATACGGCCACGTACACCGGGATATTACGTGATACCGCGGGCACGATGTTCCACCGTTCACTACGTGACGCGACGGCCTCCGCCATTTCCCGCGAATAATTTCTACCATTCTCATCAGCCATCTAATATTTTCTTCAATTAATTAGTACACTTATAAAGGGATTTAATCTGCGGAAAAAATTACAATATCAAAAATACGTGCATATTTATTTACATGATAAAATGTCTGGAAAATGTTTTTCATTAATTACATGATTTTTAATTGATTATTAGACTGAGAATTTATAAGAAATTATTTGGAAATTATAGTATATTTTTAATATACTTAATTTTAGTACAAATGCATAAAATCTGCAGTCTAATAACGAAATCTGCAGTGAGCTGCTATTATGTTAAAATAAAAATCAAACTTGTGAGATATTTTTTGATATTCCTATAAAACAGGTGAAAACGTCGTCCAGTTTTACGTATGAGAAAGAATACGGCCTGAGTACATCTCGAATATTTTCCAAGCCAACAACGTTATGTACGTTTAAACGATCATAAGACGGTCATAAAAAATTGCTGTTCATCCATTTGCCTGATTCGCGGTACGCGAGCGAACGACTGAGCAGAAATAAAAGACAGTTTTACTAGCACGTGAAATCTCCCCGTCCGAAAGGAACAAGACTTCTCTTAACGCGAATGATAACAGGAAAAAAATACACCTCCTAATTCCGTTAATGCAACAGAAGGTTTCGGATCACAGTTCTTTTTATAAATAAAATTTATAACCGATAAGAAACATTTTCTTAAAATTATTTACGACTGCCGATGCGGGAGAGAAATTCATTTAATACTCTGCCAATTTATTTTTAAAACTTTTTTTACTTCATCCTACTTATTTCTCGTGCTATCTTTGCCGTTTCAAAAACTTTTCGTGTTTATCTTTATCTGGTGCCTCGCTGGAAATATCTTTCGTCTCCTTCCTCGCTCAGTTATTTCACTGTTTCCGTTCCGTTCCTTTTCTCTCCAGTACCTTGGGTCCTGGCCGCCCGCTGCCACGCATGAATATGCAAAAGCGAGCCCGAAACGAACCGATGATATTTCAGTGTAGCTCTCGCCTCGGGCAACGTAAATTCCACTTTGTCCATGCACCCACGAACCGGCGCACCAGCCTCTTCATCCGTGGTACAATAAGTACACCAGTAGTCCAAGTATAATGCCAGCTACGAACACCTCTTTCTGATCTACGATCGAACTTTTAACGATCGACAGAGCAGCAAAGGACTTAAGAAGGTCTTTGTGGCAGCGAGCCGGACTCGCGGATTTCCTACGTGCAGCTATTTCTCATACCCCTGCTCGACTACTTTATGGGAATCGGTTTTAAAGGAAATTTAAGAAAAATGAAAAGACCAAATAAATCCAGACAAACTTCCGATATATGTGCACGTCTATTACAGAGGCTCTGCGTCATCTCAAAGTCGAGGCATTGTACGTGCAGGTAGCCAGAAATCAAAAATGCATTATTCCGGAGAATCGGGTACTTATTCTAATGTACCAATTTCTATTCGAAAATCCGAACTAGCTTTCCTTGTATCAGGAGTATTCTTTCGCGTGATAAGATCGCAGATTATACGGTTCTATCTGGGAAGCTTCCTTTCAATCTGAAATACGACAACGCTGTTGTCCATTGGAAGAGATGAACATCGTGTATTAAAAGATACGTGCGTAGAGTCTAGGACCGGCACAATTCAGTTTTTGATCGTTCTGCACATCTCAATGCTTTACCGTGTAAACTGAACCCTGTGGAGGGAGTTCGCTGCGACCCCCACGACCTTCCAACCTACGCGAAATGGTCCTAGATTATCGGGAACACGAATATAGTTCTATTGGTTGCAAGCGTTAATACTAATGGATGAATTTAAATCGTTTGGCTTTTAACTTTCTGAAGTATTAACCCTTAACTTAATTGTGAATATTAATCGGCAACTCCAACTTATTCTCATCCTACTTCGACTTGCAAACTTTCAAGTGACAAATTTTAAATGATATTTATATTAATTTATATTAATTACAATTTGGTATAATAAAAATAAAATAATAATATTTATATTAATTA